TTGTGGCATAAGCAATCGGCGCCAATAGAGCACCCATGATAGCAGGTAACATCCGCATAGCAACATAGGGAACATGATGCTCTGTATAATCCATCCCGATTTCCTTGAATGAAAATGAACCATTGTATCCAACAAAAACACCGCTAAATGCAACCAACAATTTTCCCAGCTAATATTAATCTATATTACTGGTGGGTGAACATCAAAAAAGAATTCCCCTTTGATATATCTAGAAGCAAACCCTCCAAAGTGAACCTCGTCAAACACAATTTCCGGTGGGTTTGAAAGCATAAAACAACGAACTACAAGTGCCACAATCAATAATCCAAGGGCAACAAGCATATTCACTTGTTGTGGCCCATGAACTGTATAAGCGTAAAATGTCTGGTAAATATAAAAATACCTGCTTCTCTGTAAAGGGCGACAGTTCTTCCTCTTGCGAAGTAGGCAAAAACGACACTGAATTTGATCGTTCTTTTTTCTTTAGTTCCATTTCGCGATTGTTTGCTTTTCAGAAAAATGCTTGGCCGGATAACAGTAGCGTTTTTATTGTCAACCTTGCTCGCTGTACATGGATTAAAGAAAAAGTATTCGCCGCTAATGTAGTTTGACTCAGTCAGGAGCGGCTGCTGCCTTTGCTGTTGGGTTTAGTATTTTCTCGCTTGAACCTGCTTATGGAATCTTGTTGATTGTGTTTTACTTGTCGTCTTCCAAACTCACGCATTATAATAAGCAATTGAAATTGAAGCAAGAAGAGTTTACTGCGTCTAGGGATCACGTTCAAGTGCTGTGCAACTCGGTTTGGATTGTTGTTTGTTCGTTCGTTTCATTCTTTTTTGGATATCAGCATCAATGCAGTTTGTTTTGCATAGGAGTGCTAGCATGTTGTTGCGGGGATACTTGGGCTAGTGAGCTAGGTTCTGTTTTATCTTCTACTCCAAGGTTAATTACTACAGGGAAAGTAGTGCCACCAGGTACTAATGGAGGTGTGAGTGTTGGCGGATTAGTCGCTAGTGTGTTGGGCGGGTTCCTGATAGGAATAGCTTATTTTGTAGTGCAACATTTCTTTACAGTCTACAAATTTACCATTATCGAATGTATCTTGTTGGGCTCAATTGGTGGCTTTGGAGGCAGCTTAATTGACAGTTTGATGGGTGCTACCGTGCAAGCAACGTATTATGATTCAAAGCTGAGGAAGATTGTAAAGAAAGGAGGAACGCTAATATCTGGATACCCACTCTTTAGCAACGAAATGGTACAAATGATTAATTGTAGGTGAATCTGCTATCCAGTTTAGCTACTGGCTTGCTATTCATCATCTTTAACGTACTTAATAAAATAGGGATATATTAAGGAATTATTCTTCGTTATCGCGGTTGTGTCTGAATTTCTTTTGCAGTTCTAGGTAAGCATAGTCTGTAAAGGTAACTATTTGGGGAAGTGTATGTTTTTCCATTGGCCCTCCAGAAACAGTTCGATCTACACGTTTAAGATGCTGGCGTTGATTGCAGATTTCATTGGCAAAGTTATTGTTGATAATCTTTTTAGGCAATCTTGGCTTTGATTTGACTGGCTGGTTGGTTTTTGTACTTGTAGGAGGTGGTGGAGGAGGAGGAATTGGCGGTTTTGCATCAACAGTCGTCGTTAGATTTAAAGGTGGAACTACAGACCTTTGAGCGACATAATCTGGTGTTGCAGGTTTACAGTTTTCAACTACAGCTGGATCTTCTTCCAGGCCAAATGTCGATCTCAGAGACATGTATTCATTGATATGTCCTTCTAGCGAATCCAGTGTCTGCAATATCTTTTCTCTCAGCTCTTTTTCCTTTCTCTGTACAATTTCAGATGTACTGTTGTTGACAACCAGAAACGACAATAAATAATCCACCATAGATTCTCGCTTGAATTTGTACTTTGTTTTCACTTGGGATATATCATGTAATAATATTGCCAGAAATGACTGGAAATCGTGGTTCTGTTGATAAGCTATAAATTCCTTTGGTTGATTGGAGAGTTTTATCGTTGATACAAATGCGGATTCTGCGAAATGCGTCAGGATGTTTATTAATTTCGCCGGTCTCTGATCAATTGGTTGATCGTACAGATTCGAGTTGTCTGCTGATTGCATCGCGAAAGTTAAAAATTGGCAAAACAAACTCTTGAAGTGCGTTGAATTGTGAGGATATAGTAATTCGGACGTGCTATTATAATAAAGGTATTGCTACCGTATGAAAACGGAATATTAAAAAGCAACCAATACACTGTCAATCGTCAACTCACAGCCAATACTAAGCATAATTATTGATGGCAGTGTTTAGCACGGTGTGGCTTGATCACTATTCTATAAAATGGGAGCAAAATGAAAATAGCCTAATGACCACAGATATCGAGCCTCCAAGTTACTTTCCAGCCAAGTATGTACCAGTACAAGAAATCAAATCCAAAAAAATCCGTAATTTCCTTTTGACCTAGAATTTGTAAAAATATCTGCAATCTCTTTTATCAAACTAGATAAATTCTCATGGTGTAAAATACCCACAGTTAATTTCTGCAATGCGATGGCATATTGGTCAAGAGTAAAAGTAGGAATCCTGCCTGAATTGACCTTGGAAGAATATGTTTTTAAATACCTTCCTCATTTTATACTGATTGATGACTACGCAATCAACCCAACGAATATATTGACAATATATCCATCAGGGAGTACGGGATGCACTATTGATCTACTCCAAGAACATCTAAATGAAAACTCGGGGAATACTACCTCATTATGGTTTAATGTTACCTGCGCTACCTTATTGGAAAGAATTGATAAAAGAAGCAAAGATGTTGCAGCGATGGAATTGGCTAATGTAGACATTGGGTATGGACAGAAAATCAACCAATAATAAAAACCAACTAATCTCTCAATATACTTTCCAACTCAATTTGCACAATATCACTGATTAATGGTCAGTTTATCAATTTAATGATAGACTGATGTCTTTTGTAATTGGCATTTTGCGTTTGGTGTCAAAATCAGACGCCTCCACTTGATGAAACTGTGCATCAAAAAACTTGCCAAATGGTTAATCAAGAACTCTTACCTCCATCTTACACTCCGGTCACTTTTGCTCCATTCTACGCTCCATCCTCAAACTCAAAGCGGTTCTACTTTGTAAACATCTCCAACATTTCTTACATCCGATTCATTCGCTCAACTATTATGGTGCAATTGGCTAAACACAGTCAAAGAAAAATAATTTCGCTCTCTATTCCACCTGGAATTACCTTTGACGAATACACTTCAAAGTTCTTGCCTCATTTTATTCGGGTGGGAAATGTAGCACTGAATCCCGCTAATATACTTGAAGTTTATCCTGGTACTGCTACTTCTACCAAAGTTGATATGGTTTGTGAAATTTCAGGAAGGGGAGAGTATTCTTCTGAAAGTGTGACTTTGGAATTTCAAGAGAGCTGTTCAAAGCTACTTGCTCAAATATGTTTTCATTCTCATGCAGTTACTTCATCTCAGTTTGGTAATGTTGATATTGGGTTTGGACAAAGATTAAACCAATAAAATATTGCTGAATGATTCGCTATGGTTTTACATCTACCCAGTCTTTTTTTGCTTCAAATGCAAGAATTGGCTGTATCTCCACCCGCTTATTCTCCAGTAACAATGATTCCGTTTTACTCTCCAAAAGCAATCAACAAAAGATTTTACTTTGTCAATATTGCGAATGTAACCTATATCAAGATAAACATGGATACAAATAAAACCAAAGTACTACTGGCTAGAAGCAGTCAACGGAAAGAAATAGAACTTGAATTACCCCCAACGATAAAGTACGTTGATTACATTCGGCAATTTGTCCCGCATTTTGTTAGGTTGGGGACATATGCAATTAATCCATCGTGTATCATGGAAGTCTATCCTGGCTCTTCTACCACTACTTTGGTAGATGTGCTCTATGAAGATGCAAAGCATCGCAACTTGAATCTGACAGAGACTCTGGAATTCCGTGGCACTTGTGGAGAGATTCTTGAATCAATATCAGCACAAGACAGCTTGGTTTCTCGTACTTACTTTCCATCAATAGACATTGGCTTTGGACAAACCCTTGGATAAATATAGTTTATTTCTCTGATTTTTTATCTAGTTTCTTCCACACTCCCAGACACCCATAACTGGCATTAGGCAATTCCCTATCTATTTGCATGCAGCATTCTTCAAATTTTAAAACGTACTCTTGACATTTATCTTGATTGTAACTGTTTCTGTATATACAAGCTTGAATTGCACAAGCGTATTTCTTGCATGGGTAATCGGTGACTGCTTGAGATTCGTATTTGTTGGTCATGAAAAATCCAACTTAGAGCAGCTCGAATGCGAGTATGTTGACCATAAGTGGCTGGTAATTGTATTTACAAATATTTTGGTATTCAGGGATAGCTTGTTACAAATCAAATGTTTTGGTATCTTGTGTCAACTCTGATTTTAATTTTGAAATTTTCAAATGCAAAAACTGCCAACAATCGATCAATTAAAGAGCCTACCAGAAGCAGATTTCATCCATGTAATCAACACGCTCTTTGAAACCGCACCTCCGCTTCAAAAGAAACTGATCGAACACAAGCCGTATTCATCTTACATTCAATTAATTGAAAAATCTGATGAATTCATTAAACAAATGAATTTGCAGGACCAAATAGCCGTCGTTAATGCGCATCCTAGAATAGGAGCGCCTGCTCAAACCCTATCAGAGCAATCGAAAAAAGAACAAGGAAGCCAGGTATCAAAAGAAGTATTGGAAAGACTAGCAATATTAAACAAGCAATACGAAGACAAGTTTGGATTCAAATTCGTAGTGTTTGTGAATGGAAGAAGTAGACAAGAAATTGTTGGAGTAATCGAACAGCGAATGCACAATACGAAAGATGAAGAGTTGAAAACTGGTTTAAGAGATATGATTTTGATTGCCAAAGACAGATTATCAAAGTTGCAATAAAGAAAAAAATGCTTCTTGCTGGATTTGAACCAACATCCTTCCCGAGTGATATTTCAATTTCAAGTGAGGGCTGCTCTACCATTTGAGCTAAAGAAGCAACAGCAATCACAGACGTAACATTTTCATATACCGTATTTAGAATGATGATAATCAGGTGGTTTTGCATAAAATAACGACGTAAGCATCATAGTCATGTTTGCGAAAAAGGTAAATCCAGTTGATAAATCTACTCATTCATTAGAGTCTAAAGATGAAACAACTCTTAAAAGGAAGAGCTGGGTTTCATGGGATGATATCGTAGGAGCGCTCAGTGTATATTCTGGTGGCATTGACGACTCTATCTTGGATATTTCTTACTGTAGAGAAAAGTACCACGAAAAGAAGGAATAATTAGACAATATAACTATTCATCCTTACAATGATAGACGATTACTTGATCCAATTACCTGCTAATTTGAAGAGATTAGAGATAATTGAGTCATAAACCCCGAATATTTTTGTCTTTGTATTTTCAATGGCTGTCCTGTCAATGTGTTGGCTATGTGAATGCAGTGGCTTTGAAGTACAACCAGTATTTAAAACACCAGTAACGTAATACGAATACTGAAATGACTGGTAATATCCGATCCAATGACGAAATGGTTCCTCTTTATGCTGGGCTTGCAAAAGAAAAGCAATTCTACTTTGTTTCTTCAAAAAATATCTCTTACATCAAACAAGATGGATCTGTACAGTTGGATAGAATTTCGCAAAGAAAAGTTGTCTATTATCAACTTCCACCTGACATTACACTTGACGCATATTTGGATCTCTTCTTGCCAAAATTTGTAAAAGCGGGAGGCATGGCCATCAATCCCGATAATATCCTCGCCATCTATCCTACTGGCCCTGATTCTACCGGCATTGATATGATCTGTGCTCGTGCTGCCGATGTAAGTCCCTTATCAAGAACTGTAATCACACATGCCTCAGAATCACAAACTTTAAAAGTAAAGCTAGATTGTGCCTACCTTCTTCAACAATTCAACAGCAAATGCTTTGAATCTTCAAGAAACATCTTTCCAACAGCAGATATTGGGTTTGGGCAGAAACTGTACACACAAACTTTTTCATGAATAAAACAATGTTATTCATCAGAACTTGTGTCCTCAGAAAGATTTTTATGACAGCAATTTTTACATTTGAGCCAAAGTGACTTGAATTGTTTAAAGTACCTTTTCTTATGTCTGACGACCAGGAAAATTATTTCTTATTTTCGATTATTTAGTAATGGATTTGTATACCAAATTCAGATTTTAGGGTTGAATGCGTTTTTTGGAGCTCTGAGTGTCCAATTACCGTTTGTTATAATTATATCGCTGAACATTCTAATGTCATTGAAGGTGGTGTGCTAGAATTGGAGACGCTATAGTTGCTATCCACGAGTACTATACGTGTATTATTTTGATAGTCGCCTTTATTCGGTCAGGTATCTATATGTATCCTTTTGATACGAAAATACAATGGCATATTCTGTTAGGATCAATATTAAAATCACGAAATCGGATAACATTTTAATCCGCTTTGCCACACTGAAAAATAGAATGTCATTTCAAGACTAACGTTTCCTTAAAGTCTATGGGGAAAAGGGTAAACACTTGCTTGAATTGCAAAAGAAAGAAAATAAAGTGCAGTAGAGAAAGGCCAAAATGTTCTGCGTGTATTGCATCGAAATCCTTTTGCGTGTACAGTAACTATCAACACAATGAAGACCCCACCGGGAATAATCAATCTGCAAAGCAAGTGCTGGAAAAAGATGTTTATCCTGTCAAAAATGCTAAAATCAAAGCTCCAGGTTGCTTTACTGGAATTAGACAAAGTCCACTAGTAGATCAACCACTGACATTTGACTTGAATGGAGAATTTGCAGAGAAATTATTCCTGGAATATATTGCTGATTCTTCATCCATGGCAGTTCAGGGTTGGCAATCTGCATCACAAAGTTGTCCAATATTAAAGTATTCTGCTAGGGGTCTTGGATATGATCTCTTGGGCCAACACCAGAATGCCTCTAAAAGCTTGAAGTTTGCCTCTCAATATCTAACACAAGTAATCTCTTGCCATTCAATAACAGCTGTCCAAGGTATACTTTCTTTTGCATTCCTCCATTATCGTACTATATCACTAACATAGGTTTAAATCGCTTTGATGAAGGAGCTGCATATTACAAGTATGCCATTCAGATGGCAAAGGAAATTGGCATCAACCGCGAAGAAAGATTGGAAACCATTTGCTCAACTGAACCGGGTAAAGAAGAAATAAGAAAATTATGGTGGTATATCTATACTCTAGATCAGTTTTTCAAAATCAGGGATTGTTCTATTCTGCAAGATTGCGATAACGGCCTGTTCTTACCCGAATCCAAGGAGCCACCAGCAATAGTCGATAGAACATTACAACTAGGAATGCTTATCTTGTCTTCTAGCGAATTGTTTACACCGCCATTTGAAACTGAAAGTATTCTGGCGTGCAGAATCCTGCTCGTAAGAATTTTGGGGAAAATTCTTCATTTCATCAATGCGTATCATGAACAAGAGAACAAAGTTAATATCAAGTATGTTATTTCAGTGTTGGAGGGGTCTCTTCAACTATGGTGGAATAATCTTCCTGCTGCGTTTAAGGAATACTTACATTCTGGTGAACCACTTAGAGGAAAAGGGTTAAAAGTAATGGAAACAGCCTTACTCTACAATTTTGCTAGAGCTTTCGTGATAACACCGTTGATTTTAAACCATAATGCAAATAGTAAAGACTTGAAACCATACGTCCAGTTTGTGAGCATAGCAAAGGACAACACAGAGCTCTTAAACGCCGCAAACAATTCTGGACCGTCTTTTCCTATTCCGCCTCCCACCTATATTGTATTTTGTATTTAATTTAGCTTTCGGTATATCATTTGACGATTTTAATCTACCTAAACACCACGTTCGAATTACCAGCGTCACTGTCCTTGCAATTGCAGCTCGCACTATACCAGCATCTTAATTTTCTCAAGGAAGTTTTGCGTTCTACTGGAAACGGCTTGTTAATTATTTTATCAACTTCTCTTGGTTATTTGAAAAAGTTTCCTCGCTTGCATAATTTGGCAATGAATTTTCTAAATGATAACATGCTTGAATGGTCGAATAAGCCACTGTTTGGTCAGACAGAACCTGTAAATGAACGCATACCCAATTATTTTGAATTTATCAAAGACCCTGAATAAATGGAAGTATTGGAACAAACATTTTCATTCTAAAACTATTTGGATACCTTTCCAGATATCCCAATATCTTTTTTAAAATTGTTGCATAATCTATTTCAACAAAACGCGACACATGTGGCACAGTAAGGCTGTGAGAGTGCATAATGGTGTAGCCACTAATTTGGATGTTGGAGCTATAAATAGCAGACAATTCCCAACTGATAACAACCACAAATGTTCTTTAAATCTACAAACAAAGTCAAACAAGATCCACCTTTGCAGAAATCAAGTATTAGCAGTCTCTTTTCTCCAAAAACAAAAAAATCTACGGAATCCATCAAATCAAAAGAAAAGAGATGGATTAGTTTTCCAGATGTTGTACATTGCCTTAGTATATATTCCCACGGTATCGACCACTCGATGCTGGACTTGTATTATAGAGAAAATTCAATGTCAATGTACGATGACAAAAACTAATATATCCAACGCTTTACAATTATTTTTGGTTACTTTACCCATTCATTATGTCAAATACATCACTTCTCTTTCATATAACTACGCAAATTGTGGATCATATATAGGTTGTTTTGAACAGGTTGACCATTTAGCGATATACTTGTACTGACATCATTGACTATCGTCCCATAAGCTTTACTCTCCATTTTTATCAATACTTGTTAAAACAGTCCAAAGATAACCGCAAGTCTGACCATCGTGTAAAGGCAGACAGCACTATCGGCTCAACTCAACCGATACTAACTTGGAATTGCTCTAATCGATCCATTATCGATTTACCAAATCTTTAAATGAAAGGGTACGGAAAATTAGACATACAGAGTTTCCGATTATTGATTCGTGCTGTTGCATTCTAGTTGTTCTCATTGGGTGTGATTGTAGTACACGAAACTGTATACAACCAGTTTGTCATTTTAGTCGCCAAGTGCACTACCGAGTTGTATATCTGGTCATCTTCAGCATTTGGTGCCCTGTACCTCTTTAGAGGAGCTATGAACGCTACTATCAAAAAGTGAAAGAGTTTTTTTGCCAATCTGATTTCCTTTTTTTTTTAAATTTGAAATGCGGTTGATCAGGAATATTAGGAATTTCAGATGCATGTCCACCGAAGTAGAAAAGGTTTCAGTAGTGAACCCTATCCCGCTGATTCCTCGCTTGGAAACGCACTATTACGAGACTCTGTATGACGATTTAATGATTTTGACTTATGACCACAGCTCACCTCAAGCTAGTTTGGAACGATTGGAAAAATCAGCTTTCTGGAAGTCTAATTTAGACGCACTGGATGAAAGTACATTTACTACACCAGTTGCGGATTTACCAACAAAGCCAACCACTAATATTACATCAAATTTGGCGACTGTAAAATATGAGCATATTGGACTGCCAATATTTCCTAAATTGATTAGAAAGAAATTAAAGAATCCAATTGATTTCACTCCTATAAAAAAGGAAGAGTTTCTTGCTCCTGCAGAACTACCACCCCCACCTTACTACACCCCATTTCCAAATAGAATTCCAGGACTAAAAAGAATTCAATTGAAAATCTGGGCAGAAGAAGCGGTTGCAAACAAGTATAGTTAATTTAACAAAGGTCTATTTTATTGTCTGCCATCATGTCACTACAGTCAATCACTGGCAAAAGACCAGTCCCTCTGTTTGCAGAAACTGGCGATCACTCGAAAAAGATTAGAAAAGGAATGCCATTGGGTGCCACGGTTGAAATTAAAGGAGAGCAAATGTATTCATTCTTGGACAAGCTAGTGCAGTGTGTATTGCCACGTATTAGAGAATACGAAGGTGTAAATCCAATTGGAGATGGAAAAGGATCATTAACTGTCAAACTTCCGGCATCTGCT